CTCCTCCCCATCCTCCCCATTCTCCTTCCCTCCACCGCTCCAGCGATCCAAGACCGAAGTTCTCCCCTCACGGCACTCCTCAAGCCACTCATCCACTCAGCACTCCTCAGGACACTCATCCACTCAGCACTCCTCACAGCGCCCCTCCTCCATGCATCCCCATCCCCACAACCACTCACCTCACCACCACCAGTCGCATCAGGGCCAGCCTCTCACGTCCCCATCTCCCCCACATCTCAATGACCTCTACCCCGCCCCTTCTCCCCTCTCTGCCCCAGTCCCTTCCCTCCTTGCCCCCCACTCTCCTGCATGCCACTCCTCCAGCCCCCTCTCCTCCCCTTCAGACAAAGACCACCCTAACAAACCTTTGAAAGCATCTTCGTTACAAGCCCCTTCGTTACAGCTGTCTGCGTTACAAGCACCCTCGTTACAAGCCACTTCAGCACATGTCTCACAGAACAGCGCCTCTCCCAAGCCTCTGTCCGGCCTGCCACCCACCACCCCCAAGCCCCAAGCCCGCTACCTCCGCAAGCAAAAATCCGTTCCCACTGCCTCCCTCTCGTTCTTCCCTTCCCCTTCCTCCCCCTCCCCCTCGCCCTCGCCCCCCTCCCTTCCTCCTTTACCTCCTTTGCCTCCCCCCTCCCCCTCCTCTTCCGTTTCTCTTTCCCCCTCCCCTCGTCCCAGCGTGTCCCGCACTATTCACACTCCCTCCTCTCCTCGCTCCCCTCTCTCCCCTCGCTCCCCTCGCCCCTTCCCATCCCGCCCTCTCACGTCCCCTTCCCTTGCCGACCGGCACAAGCCATCACCTCTCAGGCGGACTTCAGGGCCACCTGACACCCTTCAGGCTGATCCTCAGGTGAAAACCCAGGTGCTTTCTCAGGTGAATCCCCAGGAGCTCCCTCAGGTGAATCCCCAGGAGCAGCAGTCTCAGCTGACATCTCATGGACCAGCACATGTAGCACCAGCACCAGCAGCAGCAGCACCATCAGCAGTAGCACCACAACCAACAGCAGCAGCGCCATCACCACCAGCAGCACCAGCACCAGCAGCAGCAGCAGCAGCAGCAGCGGCAGCACCACTGCCGTCCTCTCGTCCTGCTTCTGCTTCCAAGCCGCCACTCTCCCCATCACCCGCTCACATGAGAGGTTTCAGAACAGCTGCAGACGGCAAGAAAGCAGCGCCAGGGAGCAAGAGGGCGGCTCTAGATAGCAACCAAGCATCAGCCCCCTCTGCAGGCCAGTCACTTAGACGCCAGGCATCCGCCCCCATTGCCTCCCTCTCCTCCTTCTCTTTCTCTCCCTCCTCGTCTCCCTCCTTCTCCTCCTCTTCCCTATCACCAAGCGCCCCTGATTGGGACCTATGCACGCATGGGGCTGTTATGAGTGCCGGTGACTGTACGGAGGGCTCTATTTTCCTAGCACAGGGTGGTTCGGCTCGAAATGGTTCGGCAAGGGATGGTTCGGCACTTAGTGGTTCGGCACTCGGTGGTTCGGCGCGGGGTGGTTCGGCAAGAGAAGGTTTGGCATGTGGTGATATGAATGCAACGGGACTGAATCGCAGCAGCAGCAATGCCAGTGCCACTGCCCGCCCTTCATCCTCCCCAGTCTTCTTCCCTCGCTCCCCCATTGCTCCATTCTCCCACACGCTCCCATACCCCCATCCTCCCGTCTCACCATCACCCCCATCACCATCATCCCCAGCATCCTCACTCTCTTCCGCCCCTTCCTTTGCTCGCTCCCTCTCCTCCTCCTCAACCTCCTCTTACGCCTCTAACCCCCTCCACCCCTCTGCAAACATCACCACCACCACCCACCACGCCCGACCCCTGTCGCGCTGTGCCCGCCCCTTCTCCCCGCCTCCACGCTACCTCGCCTGTATCGCTGCTGAAACCGCCAAACCTGCTTCTGCTGCTGCTGCTGCTGCTTCTGCCGCTGCTGTTGCAACCACTCCCACTGCCGCTGCTGGTGCTTCTGCTTGTGCTGCTGCTGATGCTGCCACTGGTGCAGTTGGAATAGCAGGACCTGAGCAGATGGTTTTTGCTGAGAAGGCAGCATCTGGGGGAAGCCCACTCTGGCGAACACAGAGCAACGTTCAGAGTAGCTCACATGCTGTTGAGACAGAGAGCAGGGGGGGCAGGGGGGGCAGGGGGGGCAGGGAGAGCAGGGGGGGCAAGGAGAGCACAGGAAGCACAGGGAGTGTTGAAGCTAGAGGGAATGCAGGGAGCAGAGGCAGTGTTGCAGTGAGAAGCATGAGTGGGAGGGCGCTCAGGAGGAGCCAGACGCTGGACTGGCACCCAGGCCACCAGCAGCAACGGCTGGCTCAGATGCAGCCTCAGGTGATACCGCAGATGTTTCAGGTGAAACAACAGATACAGCAGCAGTCGCAGCAGCAGCAGCAACAGCACATGCCAGACGTGTTGATTCTACACGGGGACGAGGAGACCGATGCGATTTACACGCACCCAAGAGCAGCTGCAGCAGCAGCGGCAGCACAAGTGGCAGCTCACTCTGCCTCCGCTGCTGCTGCTCTTGCTGCTGCCAAGGCCTCCCTCCCTGCCCCTCTTCCCCACCCTGCTTGCCCTCCTGTGTCTCCTGTGTCTGCTGCATCTCCTGTGTGTTCTGCATCTCATGCAGCCACGACAGCAGGAGCTGCTGCTGCTGCTCCTGCCGCTGCTGCAACTGAAGCAGCTTATAGTGAACCTGTTCTTAGTCCTGCTTATAGCGGAGCATTGCTCAGCCCTGTGTCTCCAGCGCTGCCCCATCCACCGATTCTCACTCTGCCCTGGGAACGGGAGGAGCCTGCGACACTTAAGAAGCACTTAGCTAAGCGACTCGCAGGCCGCAGCAAGAGCACTTCGGACTCCCCCTGGTTGTCAAACAGGGATGAGGGCAGCTGTAATGACGGTATCAAAACCAGCAACGGCAACTGCAATTGTTCGTGTAACTGTCACAGCAGCAGCAGCACCAGCATCACCGGTACCACCGGTACCACCGGTACCACCGGTACCACCGGTACCACCACTAGCAGCAGCAGCACGGGGCAGGCAGGAGGGATAGCATGGGGGTCAGGGAGGGCGCTTGAACCGCCTGACGTGGTGAACCTTGCAGTGCTGGTGTCGGTGCTTGCTGCTTTGCCTGGTGCCGGCTGGCGGAGTGCTCGTGACTCGTGATTATTGGGTCTGTTGGGGTCAACTTCTGAGGCGCCTCAAAAGTCTGCTTTCGCCTGGTGCCGGCTGGGGGAGTGCTCGTGAGTCTGTTGGGGTCGCCGACTTACCACAAGCAGGAGCATAGGTTAGGTTCTCTTGCAATGGCTTTTTGCACTGTAACACACAAATATTCTTAAATACATTTGTAACAAACCCATCTGTTTATTCTGTATGCCATTGTACAGCACTCGGGAGAGGGATTAGCATGCTTCCACGACAGGAGCATCAAAACAACAAATTAAAGAATAACAAAACAACCTGTATGTCAAGAGGAAAGGAAGCTTCAAGGCTCTGGTGGCTCTCAGGTGGCCTTCAGGTGCCCTTCAGGTGCCCTTCAGGTGCCTCTCAGGTGAAATTCAGGAGGTCAGAGCCAAAAAAGGAGTGTTGGTGAGAGGACGGGGTGATGAGTCGAGTGGGTGGGAGGGAGGAGTGGTGAGTGGAGTGAACAGAGTGGAGTGGGAGAAAGCAGTAGAGGGTGCGAAGAGGGGGGAGATCAGGGGAGAGGACGGAGGGGGGAGGCGGGGGGAGGGGGACACCCAGAGGGAGAAGGAGGGGCACCGAGAGTGATGGTCCTTCCCCTGCTCTTCACCAGGCATCAGGTCTTGAGGCTCTGCAGGAATATTCCCCTGGCACATTGGCCGGCAAGCCTCGGGAGGTTTCTGGGCTGACATGTAAGGAGGCTCGGCAAGAACAATCTCCTCGCACAATGGTTGCCAAGCCTCAGGATACTCCTGAGCTGACTCAGGTCGAGGTTTGGCAAGAACAATCTCCTCGCACAATGGTTGGCGGTGAGCCTCAGAACTGGCAAGAAGCGGGGAAAAATCAGCACCGCTTGGCTGCATGCACACAGCGGTTACGTTGGTTACATCTTCGGTTGCGTCTTGCCTGGGTGCCTGTACATATGAAGCCCCAGTGGCAGTGCTGCCTTTATTGACTGCTGCTATTGCATCTGTAGCGTCAGAAGCAGCCGATTCGTAGGTAGAATCGGCAGGAGCCGTTACAACTGTAGTGTTGAGAGCAGCTGTTACATCTCTGGTATCGGCAGCGGCAGTTATGGGCTTCGTGGTGAAAGCAACTGCTGTATCTGTAGCGTTGGTAGCAGCCGTCACATCTGTAGCGCCGGGAGCAGCAGTCACATCTGTAGTGGTGGGAGCAGCCGTCACATCTGTAGTGGTGGGAGCAGCAGTCACATCTGTAGTGGTGGGAGCAGCCGTCACATCTGTAGTGGCGGGAGCAACAACCACAAGGCTGCATGGAATCATCTCCAAGGCTGTAGCCACATCTGTAGCATCACCTGCTGCTATGCTCGCCACATCTGTAGCCGCCAATGTAACAGCTGCAGCTGCCACGTCAGCATCAAAACCTGCAATTTGACCGCCCTGATCGCCCATGCCACGTGTTCTCAACCCACTGGCTGAAACACTGCTTCTTGCGCCGACCCACTCGGAAAACGACAGAGTGCCATGTCGATGTGATGGTGCTTTGGGGTTCACCTCTGGGCCTTGATATGATTTCTGAGGTGCCTGCAATGTCGCTGTTTTGGAGGATAATTCTGAGCCGTAAGATTTCCATCCATGTGAATCCCAGCCACACATATTTCCCATCTGGCTTTCCGCCTCCTCCAAGAAGTCCACGCCTTTTATGATTGGTCCGCCACCAGCAGTGACCCCCTCGTTCGCGTCAGAAGAACCTTGAGAACTCCGCGCGTCCCCAAATATCAGCTCCCCAAAGACTTTCCCCCTTCCTCCTCCTCCTCCTAACGCAGCCGCCTGGGTGTACCCCGCCTTGCGAGTAACTACACCACCTTGGTTTTGGGGCAACCCACAACTTGCCCCTCTTTTCGGGAAAACTTCGTCTTGCCACCCCGGGAAATCGTGTCGGGACGCCACGCCTCCGCGCCTCTCCTGGAGGGATCGCGACCGCTGGACGGACCTCTGAGTGCCGTGACCGCGATTATAACGAGGGGCATATGCACCACCTTTCTCGAACCAACCACCGTTGTGATAATAACGCGGGACGGGTGCTGGCCCTGTCTTTTCGCAGCAGCCTCCGACCGTTTTCCCCCCCCACTCCGCCGCGTCGCAATGCGCGTGACACCCGCGAGCAGGGTGCAGCAGGACGCGCTCCCCCGCCTCGCGTGCGCTCCACGCGCGCCCCAGCGGACTGGGGAAATGCTTCCGCGGAACCGGGCGGGGATTAGCGCAAGCGGCAATTTCCGCCTCGGAATCGGCGCAGTCTCCGCGATCAGCTCGTTGCGCGGACGCGTCCGCAACATCTGCTCCCGCGGAGATGTTGGCATCCGCGTACCCGCGGAACCAATCTTCCACTCTCCTCCGCGCATCCGCATCTGCATCCGCGTCCGCGCTCCCATCTGCATCACCCGACGCCGCAATCCGTCGCGCTTCGTTCCCATGCTTCCGCTCCCACCTCTCCGCCAAAGGCGCGCAGCCGCGTGACGTGGCTTCGAAGGGGGAGAGCTGGCGGAAAGGAGTTCGCTCCGCAGGGGACGCGGAGCTCAAGGACAAGCGCCCCAGGCACGCGGAGACCCCCGCGTGCCCCGCGCCTCCGCGATCGCCGGCGCCGTCTCCGCGCAGTTCCGCGTCCGACAGGGGGAAGGCGGCCAGTTGCTCTTCGAAGGACCCGCACGACGGCCGCTGCTGCTGCTGCTGCTGCTGCTGGTGTTGATGCAGCTGTTGCTGCTCCTGCTGCTGCTGCAGCCAGCGCAGGAGCCATTGGCTGCGCCTTACCCGCTGCCGCCGCTGCGCCGCCGTCACCGCCTGCAGCTCATCTCCGCGGGGGAACGGAACGGCCCACGTGCGCCTTCCGCCAACTTGGCGCAAACCGACAACTTTCCTCTCCGCTCCCGCGCCGCCCTCGATTCCCCGGCCCCCCTCTTCCGCTTTCTTCCCCGCCAACCCCTGCAGCCCACCCCACCGTTCACCTGCATTCCCGCCTCTTTCCGCCGCCGACACGCGCCGCTGAGTTTCCGCATCTCCGCGTTCTACGGAGCCGCGGGGGCGGTGCAGGCCTTGCGCGTTGGGCGTGCGGGCGGAATCCGAGTCAAATGCCGGCGCGTGTCCCCCTACGACTAGCAGGCGCCACGCCCATTGCAGATCTTCCGCGGGGATCGGCGCTCCTGCTCCGCCGGATGCCAAAGGCCTTTCCGCCGACGGAGGTGCTCGCGGCTTTGCCGCTGTCGGGCTGACGCGGCATTCACTCGATTCTCCAGCATTCGCCGGGTCTCGTAGCGCAACGGCCACGTGTCCGAGATCGCACGGCTCGCGCCGCCCGCTGCGGCCGCAGGTTGCGGAATCGAATTTACTCGCGACGCCATTCCTTGGGTGGTGTTGGAGCAGGGACGAGCTTAACGGATATGCGCCTAACGGGTGCGACTCAAACGAGTACGAGTCTAACGGAATCGACGGACCAGATGAACGCGATTCTGGCTTGTGCAAATCTTCTTTGGGAAGCAAAGGAGACGCTTCGTCGGGCGCCGCTTCGGCAGGGGCGTCAGCGCACGTCGCGAGGGCGTGGAAGATCGCGAGGCGCTCCTCGAACCGCCGCTGTTGGCGCTCGCGGCGGCTCTCCGTTCTGCGGAATCGCGGGGAAGATCCGCAAAGGCCGGTCGTCGTGAAAGAATACTCCGCGAAACCCGGAGAACACCCGTAAGATGTAGTCTTTGACATCCTAGTGGAAGGAGAATACTCTTACGACATCTCAATGTTGGTACGATCAGCTAGTGGAAGGCTAGTAGAGTCTCTAGAAACTGTCGCTGCTGGGAGCACGCGAGGACTCGTGAGAAGATGTTTCGAGGATCAACTTACGAGTTGGGAATTGGAGATTAGTAGATTTGCAGTTTCTTCACGAAATGGCTGCTGAAGTTTTGAACGTTGTAGGTACGGACGAATGGTCAGATTCGCGACACAGGCGGTCAAAACACAGTTCTCTAGTTGCCGCCATGGTCCTCGTCAATGCTGAAAAAATCCGTTGGATGGTCTCGTCGTCTCGAAGCGAAAGAGGCACCCAAGCGAGGCCGCGCAATGTGAGTGCAACCCATCCGATCCAACCGAACATTGCGAAAATCGAGATCAGAGAGCCGTAAGGTGAGGAGAGACAAGTATGGCGGTGGCGGGGAGGGACGGAGGGAGGAAGGGCGTTTGGTTACAAGGATTCCATCCCACCCCACGACATCCCGTCCCATCCCTTTTCATCCCATTCCATCCCAACTCACCCAGCCCATCCCCATCCCAACCCATTCCTTTCCCACCCCATGATCTGATGATGATGATCCCCCATCCATCCCTTTTCATTCCATCCACCCCCACCCACCTTACGTGCGACAAGTGCCCCTTTATCCAGTGGCATAAAAAGACGTGCTTTTTGACACGCCAGCAAGCCACGCCACGCCCTGATTTGAGTAGAACGAGACAAGCGACTCAAAATTGTAGGTGAGGGAACAGCTGGAAGTCTAGGCAATGGCAGCATTGTCCTCTGTTGCGCGAACGAGAAATGGAATTTTGCGCCGAACTGTAACGCGGTTAGGGATGAAAATATTGCAGCTTTTCGTTTTCATGTGATACATAAGAGGAAAAAAGGTACAGTTCTACGCACTACGTTTTTGTTTGTTTTGGGCCACTACCCATTTTTTGTGGCTGTCCTTCGACACATTCTCAGCAAAGCTGGTGGGATTTCCACGTAAATATCTACTGTTATGAGATAGGCCCTCAAGTCGCAAGATCGCATTCCTTGTTTCTTCCTTTACTTGTGCTGTTTCTTAAAGCCGCGGTGCAACTATCTTAGGAACAGTGTCAAACCGGGTTTTGTCTTGTTCCGTACTGGTAGTCAATTGGCTAGCGAGAGTGTAAGTCGTGTTGCGATGAAAACATCTAAGGTGAATGTCGCGAACCTCGAAAAGAAAAGTGGGGGGGAAGGGGTTGGGGGGAAGGAAAGGGGGGAACACACACGAAACGGGAAATGGGACCACATCAACACCCCCATACTCCCTTTCGCTGATTGTTCTGCCAATAACACCTCCACATTGCAAAACGAGAAACCTTATGTTCCAAAAAAGCTGCACAAAATACCAATTTCACTTTCAAGTTTTATTTTGGTTTATTTATCCATCCATTTGCAAGAGTAATATTTCTAATGGGGAGGAAGAATATCAACTGTACAGATGTGCAAGACTTGGAATGTCATATTGAAATCCTTATTATGCTAAGGATAAAAGCAAACATGGCATCATCCAAGGAGAGCAGGTTTTTACACTCCGATCCACTATTGGTGCAGCTGTCCATTTGCAGGGAGGAGGGGGGAGGGGAAAGGGGGGAGGGGGGGGGGGGGAGGTGGGGAAGGGAAGGAAACGTTGCACATTATTGAAGAATGTTAGGTAGGGAAATTGAAGAGAGCATGGAAACTGAGATATGATAGACAGCCTTCAGTGGCCAAGCAAAGCTGGTACTGTCGGCTGGGCTGGACGAGAGAACGTAGTGGAAAGGGAAGGGACGGTAGTGGGGGAAAGCGAGGGACAGGGGAGGGGGGAAAGGGATGGCTGAGAGAAGCGTGAATGGTGGGAGAGGACAGTAGGAAAGGAAGGGATGTGAGAGAGGGGGAGGAAGGGTGGGAGGGAGAGAGGACAGGGGAAAGGGAGAGAACGACAGGGGGAAAGGGAGAGGCGGACAGGGAGAAATGGAGAGGAGGACAGTGGGAAAGGGAGAGGAGGACAGGGGGAAAGGGAGAGGAGGACAGGGGGAAAGGGAGAGGACAGGGGGAAAGGGAGAGGACAGGGGGAAAGGGAGAGGAGGACAGGGGGAAAGGGAGAGGAGGACAGGGGGAAAGGGAGAGGAGGACAGGGGGAAAGGGAGAGAAGGACAGGGGGAAATAGAGAGGAGGACAGGGGGAAAGGGAGAGGAGGACAGGGGGAAAGGGAGAGGAGGACAGGAGGAAAGGGAGAGGAGGACAGGGGGAAAGGGAGAGGAGGATAGGGGGAAAGGGAGAGGAGGACAGGGAGAAAGGGAGAGGAGGACAGGGGGAAAGGGAGAGGAGGACAGGGGGAAAGGGAGAGAAGGACAGGGGGAAATAGAGAGGAGGACAAGGGGAAAGGGAGAGGAGGACAGGGGGAAAGGGAGAGGAGGACAGGGGGAAAGGGAGAGGCGGACAGGGGGAAAGGGAGAGGAAAACAGGGAGGGCACTGGCCAAGCGAAGTTGATGCTGAGGATCGGGCAAGGGATCGGAAAGGGGGAGGCATTGGAAAGGGGGAAATTGGATGGGACGGGAGGTGACAGGGTGGGACGCGAGATGCTTCGCCACCGTCGCACAGATGCTTCGCTCCGCTGCTCGCTATCGTCGCCCTGGTGCTCGCTATCGTCGCCTTGGTGCTCGCTATCGTCGCCCTGGTGCTCGCTATCGTCGCCCTGCTGCTCGCTATTGTCGCCCTGGTGCTCGCTATCGTCGCCCTGGTGCTCGCTATCGTCGCCCTGGTGCTCGCTATCGTCACCCCGCTGCTCGCTATCGTCGCCCCGCTGCTCGCTATCGTCGCCCCACCGCTCGCTATCGTCGCCCCGCTGCTCATATGCGACCACCGATATCTAGCTATCGTCGCCCCGCTGCTCGCCACCGTCGCACCCATTCCTGCCTGTCGCTGCCGTTGCGCCTTTGCTACCGCAGATACGTGAGGAATGGAGGGGCGGGAGAGGAATAAGGACGGCAACGGAGGAAAACGAGCGCAATGCGCTTCGAATACGACCAAAAAGGTGTTTACGAGGTAGGAAATTGCGCAGATATTCGTGAGCACATCAATAGACCATGAAACGCGAGAAATCTTAGCGGAAATGGCTCTGCGTAGCTCGGGAAACTTACTTCAAGTTAGTAAGAACCTAGTTCAAGCGTGAGAGTTTGCCGAGTTTGAGTTGTTTTGAGTTCAAGTTTGAATTTTCAAGTTTGCTGCCTGCGCTCCCCCTCATCTCGTTGAGCAGAGCTTTTCCCCGAGCCCTCCCCCGTTTCCCCCCCCACGCATCATACTGCGAATGACTTTTCCGTACGCCCTTCCCCCGCTGGCAGAAACCTCTCCCTGCTCGCTTTCCTGTGTATACTGGGTTACGCGGCTTTCAAACTATAATAGTTTGAACTGGAGCCGGGATATCTGTACCACGGCTTTAATCAGCCCTGTCTGAGCTAACATTCGAAAACTCTGTAGAATTAAATGTTGCTAAGCATCGCGGAGGATGTCATTCCCGTACCTAGCAGATTTATGCTGCATGGCAACTGAACAGCCCTTATTATGGATTAAGTTTGATACTTAAGTTAGCAAATTTATGCGATGAGCGAGAACTCGGGCACCTAAGGTTTTCGAAGAATGTTAGCAGGGAAGCGTGAGAACTGCCCAGAAGTGTTCGTAACGAAAGAGTGAGGAGTGAGGTGAGGGTATGCAAATTTGGCGAGAAAGTGATCTAACCATTGAGTCAAGATGACGTGGTCCGCGATGCAAGGGCGCAGAGTCCATTGGGTTTATTCACTTGACCCGTAGAGTGAAGCCTACACTTCAAATACACTTGGCTAAATGGTTACACAAGCGGAAAAGGGTACTACCGTACTACCTTTCCCTCTATTCAACCATGCCATCTGTTCCTCGGAAAATAGTGAAACCTAGCAACATACCGAAGGCAGACAGGTGGTCTGTCAAAAGAACACTTCAATACTGTGTGTTAGGTTTGGAACCACTTCGTCCTACTTCCATACGTAAACAAAAACTAACTTTTGGTAGGCACCACCATGACAGCACAGACCTGAACATCATGAGACTTGTATCTACATCTGACAATGGAAAATCAGATTGGAGTGAATCCCAAGATAGGTGAAGGCTTTACATACCTCTGCCCAAGTGTGAGGGATGAACTTGTGTCCAGTACTCTTCTACCCCTCCCCACAGCAGCTCAACCTTCCACCCACCACCACTCCTTCTGTCTACCAGGAAGTGTCCCTTTCAAGTTTGAAAGCAGGGTGATTTGGAGAAAGGGTGCTTGAATTGCTCTGTATAGTTACCGTACAGCAGCAGCGGTTCTGTTCGCCCGAGCAATGCACGGACCCCATTTGAGACCCTTTGCGGCAGCAGACTGGTCAGGACAGGGTGATTCAGAAATGCGGGCGCTTGCATTGCTATACTAGTCAAACTTTCGCTGAACCCCTGGCAATCCACCAGTTTCAGGTCTTCACTGCTTAAGTTGAGGCAAGCTGATCCAACCTCTCAGCTTCAGCCACTGATGCTATATGCCTTTGAAAAGGAGAAACGAAGGTTACATTAGGCGATGAGCCGTGCTCTAAAGCGGAAGGAAATGCCCTGCTGCTGCTGCTGCTGCTCGCGGAGTGCTGACGTCGATGCCTCTGCTCCGTAGACCCGCCCAAAGCACCACTCAGTGACCCGCCCAGAGCGTACGTCGGTTCCAGTTTCCCACTCCTAGAGCCTCGAGATTCCCGGCCACAATCTCTGCTGCAGTTTTCATTCGACGGTCGCGAGATTTCGCCGCGATCTCGCACCTCGATGCTGCGGTGGCGCGATTGATTCGTTTGCGCAGCCGCTGTCACCACCGGGTTTAGGGTTGGCGCATGCGAAACCGACTGCGCCGAAATGTGCGGGCTGGTCCATCCTCTAGGGTTCCGGTTGTGCTGGTAGTGCTGAAATAAGTCAACGCGGTCACCCCCCGCGTGCGGCGACACGAGCGGACTCGCATGCGACACGCCGGTGTGGGGGCTCGTGAGCGGACTCGCGCGCGACGCGCCGGTGTGGGGGCTAGCGAGCGGACTCGCGTTGGCCCTGCGCGTGACACGGCCACCTTTTGGCGTTCCCGCACACGAGCCGACCCCCTCTCTCGAACCACCACAATTCGAGTCGCCACCAATCTCACCCGCCTCACGCCCATCGAAACTAGCCCCGCTTGGGTTTCTCCTGTGTCCTTCAGCCGGTTCCTTCCGACGCACCTCTCCCCCGAATTCCCCTCCGCTTCCGCTTTCACGCCGCATGTGCCCGCGCTGGCTCTTGCCGCTGTTGTCGTAGGAATCGCCTGTCAAATCGCCCGTCTGATCCTCGCTCGGCCGCCCCCGAAAAGACCCCCGATGAGAACCCCCCCGTTTAGACCCTCCTTGAAAAAATAGATCTGGTGTAGAAACTTCCGGGATAGACGCATCTGGATAAGCCTGTCCGCCGCCCGCTCTGGTGTCACTCGGGCCAGTTAAATCTGGATATGATGGCGCGCGAAGCTTCGGCTGAGTCGACGAGCGTCGTGGGAGACTGCCTCCGCCGATCGCGCAGCTGCTCCCGCCCAGATCCTGCTGGAATCCCGGGAAATCCGACGGCTGGGAGAACGTCCGCCGCGATCGCTGCTGCGGAATCCTGTGCATCGTGGCGTTCCGCGACAGCGGGGACCCAGCAGGAGGGCCAGCGCCGCCACCACCGCCGCCGCCGCCACCGCCGCCGCCGCCGCGAGAGAAAACGGTCGGCGACCGGCTCGGCGGCAGCGGTCCAGACCGGAAGGCCACCGCATACAGATCTTCTGGGTACGAAATATAATCGTCGCCGTTGGCTCCTTCCCACGCACTCCTCCGGCCGCTGCTCCCGACGAACCCGTCGGTTCCGCCGCTAATACTTGCGCGACGACCACTCTTGCTCGAAGCGGGGAGAACCGCGACGCCGTAGAGATCTCCCTCCCCCACCGAGCCGTCCTCCTCGCCGCCGTACAGGTCCGCCATCAAGCGACTCAGTCCCGTGGAAACGGGCGGCGCCGGACGCCCTGCGGCAGTCGCGGAGCAAGGCTCCGCCACCGGCGCAAGCTCGAGCGCGCGCTGCGCGGGAGTGGTTTCAGTAACAGCGCCGTCGCCGATCCACCCGCTCCCCCGCTGGCCTGTGAGCGAGCGACGAGGTCCGACCCTTCGAGAATGCGCGGAATAGGCGTCAAACGGTACGGTTTTGGCGCGACGCGAGCCGAATTCGACATCATCGCCCGTTAATGCTCTTTCCGGGCAAGTTTGCGTTCCGTCAGGCGAGCCGCGCCTGCCCGCAGCTGGCTCGACCGATGGAGAAGGCTCTTCCGATTCGAGATTGGGCAGGTCAAACGAGGATAAGTCGGCGGACGAACTGCTGTTTGGGTGAAGCGGGTGGGAGCTACTAGGAGAGGATAACGCCACGTCGGGCGCATGTTTGACTGCGTTGACTGCGTTTACTTCGTCTGCAGCGACGGAATCGGAGGCGGCGACATCTGGAACGTTTATGGGAGCTTCACGGAAGTAAATTTTGGGGAGGCTGTCGGCGCGGAAGCCGCGGGGAGCGCGGAGGTTAAAGCAGGTAACTTCGTCGCCGCAGCTGCGGTTTGACTGTCTGCGGGACCGGCCTAATCCGCCTAACTTGACCCACTTTTTCGCCATGTCCATTGAGATCGAAGGATTGCTAGGTTACGTCAATACGTTGGGGTTATTGCTGGCCACAGAATGAAGCAGCCGAAACACATCGCATCACTCGTGGTCTGGAGAAAGGAAAAACTCTCTAGAGCTTTCTGTCTCGTGGGGTGAAGGGATCAGCGTACAGTACGGCGCAGTTGAAGGTGTTGTCGAAGATTTCTGCACATTCATGAACTGAGTGTGATGCTGTGGTTCGAAAAGACCGAATTGCAAAAGTGAGGCCATGGCCTGAAGGTGAGGTTTGCAGCTGGTCTTTGAGATTCACTTCCGCTGCAATGCAGAGGCTTCGATTGGGCGGACGACCATGAGGAAGTGTCCCTTGCTCGAGGTCGAATATTGGCGTGCCCGAAAATCATAGGAGGGGTTACCCAGCGTAGGGAGGTTTTCCCCATTCACGATTCCAAGTTCCAACCAAAACACATTCATCCGCGCGGAATCGGGCATACCGAAAATTGTTCGGGGTGATCGAGTTGGGATTGGAGGCGGCTTCATTGAGGCAGCGAAGGGAGGGCTTGCAGGAAGTGCGACCCAAACCTGACCAAACCGAACCACCTCGTTGCAGGGGTCTGGAAATACCGCGGTTCAGAGCGGTGTATCCCATTGTCGGCTGGGTTGTGCCGCACCGCACCGCACTCGAAATGTGGTCGATCATCAAACATGATTCAATGTGTCCTGGTCGTGACACCCTTCCATAAACAATTACTGTTACATATTGACGAATGATGTCAGGAACTCATGGCTGGTGTTCACTCAGAGTTTCCTTCAGGGACTCATGGCTGGCTTCATGTGATCTTTACGGAC